TATGTTACTTGACCTTTTTCTTTAGCTTCTCTTAATAGTCTTTCTTTATTCCGTATGTTTTGGGTCTTGATTATTATGTGGCGAGGGGAATTTTTTTTTGTGGTCCACTCTATTTGGTGTTCTGTAGGCTTCTTGTACCTTCATTGGCGTGTCTTTCTTAAGGTTGGGAAAGTTTTCTTCTATGATTTTGTTGAATATGCCTTCTGCCCCTTTGAGGTGGATTTCTTCTCCTTCTTCTATACCTATTATTCTTAGGTCTTTTCATGGTGTCCCATATTTCCTGGATGTTTTGTGTTCAGGATTTGTTGGATTTAAGGTTTTCTTTGGTTGATAAATCCATTTCTCCTAGTGTATCTTCAACACTTGAGATTCTCTCTTCCATCTCTTCTATTCTGTTGGTAATGCTTGTATTGGTAGTGCCTGACTGTTTGTCCAGCTTTTTTATTTTCTGCCTTTCTTCAGATTGTGTTTTTTTTAATGTCTCTATTTCAGTTTTCAACCCTTGCAGTGTTTGCATTGCTTCTTGCAATTTTCTGCTTATTTGTTCGTCTGTTTGTTGCCTTTTATGAATTTTTTGGTTTGTTCTTTCTTCCATTTCTTGCATTTTTTGGTTTGCTTTTTGTTCCATTTCTCGCATTTTGTTCTTTGTTTCTTCTTCCTTTTCCTGCCTTTTTTGGTTTGTTTCTTCTTCCATTTTTTCATTTTTTGCTTTGTTTTTTTACCATTTCTTGCATTTTTTGCTTTGTTTCTTCTTCCATTTCCTGCCTTCTTTGGTATGTTTCTTCTTCCAATTCTTGCATTTTTTGCTTTGTTTTTTCTTCCATTTCTTGCATTTTTTGCTTCATTTCTTCTTCCATTTCCTGCCTTTTTTGGTTTGTTTTTTCTTCCAATTCTTGCATTTTTTGCTTTGTTTTTTCTTCCATTTCTTGCATTTTTGGTTCGTTTTTTTCTTCCATTTCTTTGAGGGATTTTCCAATATCCTCTTTTAGGGCCTCTATCATTTTCATGAAAGTGCTTTTAAGGTCGTTCTCTTCTGCTTCGTTCGCATTGGAATGTTGGGGTCTTGCTGGTGTGGAGTCTCTAGCATCTGGCGGTGTCATATTTGTTTTTCTGTTGCTGACTGTGTTTTTGTATTGTCTCTTTCCCATCTCTTCTTCTAGTGGGTGCAGAAAAAGCCCCTTACTGGTCTGGGGACCAGAGTTCCCTTTTGGTGGGTGCTAGCAAGTCCAATATGTAGCCCACTTTTTAATTGGATCCTTTGGTGTTTTGGAGACTTGCTTCTTAAGTCCTTTGTAAATTTTAGAGATCAGCCCTCTATCAGATGTGGGGTTACTGAAGATCCTTCCCCATTTTGTGGGTTGCCTTTTTCTCTTATTGACTGTGTCCTTTGCCTTACAGAATCTTCTCAGTTTCAGGAGGTCCCATGTATTAATTGTTGACCTCACTGTCTGTGCTACTGGTGTTGTGTCCAGGAAGAAGTCTCCTGTACCAATTCGTTCAAGGGTACCATCCACTTTCTCTTCTAAGTGTTTCAATGTGGCTGGATTTATATTGCGGTCATTGATCCATTTGGACTTAAGTTTTGTGCATGGTGATAGACATGGATCTATCTGCATTCTTCTACATGCCAGCATCCAGTTATGTCAGCACCAATTGTTGAAGAAGCTTTCTTTTTTCCATTGTATATTTTTAGTTTCTTTGTCAAAGATCAGATGTTCATACATGTATAGGTTAATATCAGGGTGTTCAATTTGATTCCATCGGTCTACCTGTCTATTTTTGTGCCAATACCAAGAGAACAGGCTTTTAAAAAATTTTATTTACTTATTATGTATACAATGCTCTGCATGTACACCTACAGACCCAAAGAGGGCACCAGATCTCATTATGGATGATTGTGAGCCACCATGTGGTTGCTGGGAATTGAACTCAGGACCTCTGGAAGAGCAGCCATCTCTCCAGACCCCTTAGAGCAGGCTTTTAACTTGACTTAAATGGGGGTATTCAGTGCTGCTTCAATTTTATTTTCTGTTTCTGGAAGATGCAAAAAATTGACAGTCTGTTGAAGTGGCCTTATAAAGGAGATGCACAGGCACAGGAAAAACAGAATATCTTGGAAAATATTCTAAGGAAAAAAGTACGCATTGATAGTCAAACCGTCCATTTTTTACTGACGTAATATGAGATCTCCTTTACATTTTAAGCTCCTTCCCCAACTTTCTAACAATAAACTCCTGGATAAAATCTTAGAAACCCAGGGACTGACTGGCTGATCATCATTTTACCTGCAAGATAGCTTAGCCTTGACTATATTAGGTGGAGGTCTGTTGATACATATGACACTTGGTATGATGGTAACTGCAACCTGATTCTTAGTGACTGCTTAAGTTCTACTCCATCACTCATGGATACAGATCCACTAAGACAAGCAGAGAAAAGTCAGTGGCCAAAATGATCTTTATTCGACATTTAGAGACTAAGAGGATCAAAAAAAGATAAACTCCATCTAGAGTCTTCTTTGCTTTGGGTAAAATTTAAAAAGAGTTTGTTCAACCAGAGTAAGATGTGAATTTTGAAATCCTTTGGTATTTTAGATATAAATAGAAGAGTTTGTCTTTTCACATGTGTTATTCTTCTATGGAGTATGATTTCCATGAGCATAGGTCAAGGACCTCAGCAAAAATAGTAATATTCAACTTCTCTGATTTGACACTCCGATGTTCCTTAAAGTATTTTCAATGGTGTAAAGCCTAAGTGAACCTAAAAAGTCATCAATGGGAAAATGAATTTAAAAATTTGGGTACCTTCTTATATTGCAAGACTAAAATCATATTGCAAGTGAATGAACTTGAAGTACAGGAATTGATCCAACTTACAAACATTTAATATTTTATTATTTATACAAAGGGTAAGAACATGTGAAACAACATTGTATAATGTTTAGGGGTACATACATGTGTATACGTTTACATTCAGTAGAACTAAAAAAAGAGCTTACTTATGGAAGAAAATTAAATAAGGGAAAAGAATTCAAAAGGATTTGATTGTACTTACAATATTTTACTTATTAAGCCTGGGAGTATGAAATGTGCAATATATTTTTCTCTATATTTTTTCAATGTATCTAACATTTCTCATAAACTAAAATCACATCATATCAAATTTATAGAGTAGAACAGTCTGTGATGACTAATCTTTGTTGCCAAGCTGATGGAATTTAGAATCACCATAGAAACAAACTTCTGGGTCTGTCTGTAAGGAAGTTTCCAGGTTACATTGATTTAGGTGGGATGACCTACCTTATCTGTGAATGTCATTGCATGGGCTGGGGTCCCAGATTGAATATAAAAGAGAGAGTGAGCTGAGTAGCACTGTTTGCCTGTCTCTCCTTCCTTATCATGGATGCAACATGCTCAACTCCCTTAAGCTCCTGCTGTGATTTCCCTGATATGATGGGATGTACCCCTGAACTGCAAGCCAAAAAAATTCTTCCTAAAAATTTCTTGTATCAGGTACTTAATCACAGCACTGAGATAAGTAACTAATGAACCACAGAAATTCACCAAGTTTCAGTGGTCACTCATGAGGACTAAACTACATATTTGGAGCTTAAAGTTATACAAGCCCACAGCTTGTGCTGAGTCTATATACACAGGCTACTTAGTGCCATACCTTCAAAACTTGGCTTTGGATCATAAACTTTCTGGTGTATGGAATTTATTATATCTCATAGCTGGCAATCATGGGAATAGGAGATAGGACCAAGAACAATATTCAAAAGTTGCACATCCAAACAAGGACGTCTGTTCTACTATGTTCATAGCAGCATTATTTGTAATAGCCAGAACCTGGAAGCAACCTAGATGCCCCTCAACTAAAGAGTGGATAGAGAAAATAATATTGTACATTTACATATTGGAGTACTATTCAGCGAAAAAATGGAATCTTGAAATTTGAAGTCAAATGGATGGCACTAGAAGAAACCATCCTGAGTGAGGTAACCCAGTCACAAAAAGACAGACATGGTATGAAATCAATCAAATATGGATTTTAGATATAGATCAGGGGAGTGCCAACCTACAATCCCACCACCAGAGAGTGTGGGAAATAGGAAAGAACCTAAGAGAGATATGCATGGCACCCCAGAAAAGGGGAATGAGGTAAGATCTCCTGAGCAGATTGCGAGCAGGCGTGGGAGGGGGCTGGGAAAAAGAGAGGGGGAGAAGAAGAGGAGAGAGGAGGACAGGGGGGAGCAAGAAGGTTAAGTTGGGAGGGGAGAACGAATGAGAAATACCATATTAGAGGAAGTCATTATAGGTTTGAGGAGAGATCTGGCACCAGTGAGGTCTCTAGAGATGTACACGGATGACACCAACTGGCAAACTAAGCAATAGTGGAGAGGCTACCTTAAATGCCCATCCCTGATAATGAGTTTGGTGACTACCTTATATGCCATCATAGAACCTTCATACAGTAACTGATGGAAGCAGAGGCAAGTACCCATAGCTAAACACTGAACTGAATCCCTGGAAACCAGTGACAGAGAGAGAGGAGAGATGAGCAAAGGGGTAAAGAATGGGGTGGTGAAACCAACAAAAACAGTTGACCTGAACAAGGCGGAGCTCTTGGACCCCAGACTGACAGCTAGGGGCCAGATGGGTCTGATACAGAACCTCTGAGTGTGGGTGTCAGTGAAGAGTCCAGGACAATTTATGGGGCCCCGGGCAGTGGATCAGTATTTATCCCTGGCATAGAAATGGTCTTTGTGTGTCTATACCACAAAGAGGGATACTCTCTCAGCCTGGACTCTTGGGGGGAGGGGCTAGGCTCTGCCCTGAACGAAATGACAGACTGTGGATATTCCTTATGCAGAAAGAGTGGGGATAGGGTGGGAGGCTGGGGGGAGGGTGTTGGGGGGTGCGGAAGGAGGGGAGGAGGAAGGAGCTGGGATTGACATGTAAAGCAAGCTTGTTTCTAATTAAAAATGTAATTTAAAAAAGAACAGAGAAAGAGAGCAGACCAAATGAGAGCTATGGGCATTGAAACTTTTGACATAGCAGATGTGCCCAGTGACACTTCCAAAAATGACAAGAAAGGCAAGTCCAACCCAGCCAAAGCGAATGTGACCCCGCAGAGCAGCTCTGAGCTCAGACCCACCACTACAGCCGCTCTGGGCTCTGGCCAGGAAGCCAAGAAAGGTATTGAGCTTATCCCGCAAGTGAGAATAGAAGATTTAAAGCAAATGAAGGCTTACTTGAAGCATTTAAAGAAACAACAGAAAGAGTTAAGCTCTTTAAAGAAGAAACATGCAAAGGAACACAGTACCATGCAGAAGCTACACTGCACACAGGTTGACAAAATCGTGGCCCAGTACGACAAAGAGAAGTCAACTCATGAGAAAATCCTAGAGAAGGCGATGAAGAAGAAGGGGGGAAGTAATTGTCTTGAAATGAAAAAAGAAACAGAAATTAAAATTCAGACCCTGACATCCGATCACAAATCTAAGGTCAAAGAGATTGTGGCACAGCACACAAAAGAGTGGTCGGAAATGATCAATACTCATAGTGCCGAGGAGCAAGAGATCCGGGATCTGCACTTGAACCAGCAATGTGAGCTGCTGAGAAAGCTTCTCATCAACGCTCATGAGCAGCAGACCCAGCAGCTGAAGCTTTCCCATGACAGGGAAAGCAAGGAGATGCGAGCCCATCAAGCTAAAATTTCTATGGAAAATAGTAAAGCCATCAGTCAAGATAAATCTATCAAGAATAAGGCAGAACGGGAAAGGCGAGTCAGGGAGTTGAACAGCAGCAACACTAAAAAGTTTCTAGAAGAAAGAAAGAGACTGGCGATGAAACAGTCGAAAGAAATGGATCAATTGAAAAAAGTCCAGCTCGAGCACCTAGAATTCCTAGAGAAACAGAATGAACAGCTTTTGAAATCCTGTCATGCAGTGTCCCAAACACAAGGCGAAGGAGATGCAGCAGATGGTGAAATTGGAAGCCGAGATGGACCGCAGACCAGCAACAGTAGTATGAAGCTTCAGAGTGCAAACTGAAGCTGGAAAACCATGGACCATCGGGAGATCATGCACAGCTTCTAAACACAGACTCCACGGACAAAAGCTGTTCTCTTTTGTGTTTATTTTATGTATAGACACTGTGTTACCTGAAACCACATGGACTAGGGGCTGGGGATGACCAAATGTTCTATTTAACAACTGAGTATTAAATTTCTTTGGCCAACCAAAAATTGCTATGTATGTACAACAACAGCAACAACAAAGAATCTCCTATTCCTGACAGGCAGAGTTGAACCATGATAGACAACTTAAACATGTTTACTCTAAGACAGCATCACAAGTCAGTGGGCTTAGTGTTTACAGCTCTGCTTTGTGGTGCATTAAGACATGTTTGAGCTGCTGCAAACAATAGTGCATTAGTAACAGTAGTAAGCGCATGCACTAGAAGAAGCAACTCTGTCTACAGTTCTTTAGCAGAAGTGATGGTCTGCTATACAAATCATTTTGCAGAATTTTCTACACCTAAGTTACCTCATCAGTAAGTGCCATGTCTTTACCATGCCATAAGATGCTAACTTCCTGTAAATGTTGCAGAAACTGTTAGAACAATAGACACAGAAGAGTGTTCCTGTGCCAAGCTCATCAGTGCTCTAAGGGGGGACTCAGCAGGCTCGTTTCAGAAAGTTTACAGCTGACACTGCTTTGTAGGGATTGCTTCTGCAGATTCCAGATATTACAATTCACTATACACTATAAGGATTGTGAAGTGGTTATTGGCAAATGTTTGTAAATGTGACCATGTACAAAGTATTTATACTCCTTAATTCTCACGGTTATAGTACGAAATCATCTAAACATTACCACGTGACAAGACTAGTAAACAGGAATCATAGACCTAACGTTTTGCATGATGCACAAGCGCCAGTTATGACTAGCACATTCAGACACAGTTAATCTAACACCAAATAAATACTGGTTAAGTAAATGTATGGCACAGAATATTATTTGACTATCAAGACTTTTAGCATAATGAAAAAGTCTATATATATGTGTATATTAATTATGTGGGCATTCTTGATACTTCAAGTTCTAGTTTGAAAAAAATACATAACTAATTTAATTTTACACAAAAATATTTATGCAGATTTTCAGACTTTCATATCAGGAAATAACCTTTTTATGTCTGTTAAATATTCAAACGATTTGCTACCGTGTTAATCTGCATGGTCTTTTCGCCTGTTGTAGTTGCATTGCAGGCGGCGCATAAAGTGGTGTGCTGGGATCAAGTCGTGCTACCCAAACCCAGAGGAGTGCAGAGACCTGGTAGCCTTGAATGAATCAGATTCCTGATTTTCGGATGCAAAATGCCAACTTAATTGTTGTATATGATTGTACAAATTGATTCTGTGTGTTCCTCTGAAGAGGACAGAGAAAATTATGATACCATAAAGGCTGAAATTCAACTTACAACTTCTCTAATAAAAAATGAAAACACAAAAAAAAAAAAAAAAAAAAAAGAACAGAGAAGAACAAATAAAGTTTTACAGTAGAGGCCAATTTTAAAAATTAAAACAAATGAAAAAGAACACGTTTATTTCATCTTTGTTTTTCATCTTTAAAAGTGTTTTTGAGTTATAAAGTTGGAATATTCATTTTATAGAGTAAAATATTGCCAATGAAACCATTGGTTTTGGTACTAAAGAACTAATGTTCATATTTGAATGATAGTTACCCAGTGGTACTTTTCTAATGTCATCTTGAAATTAGGTTCTAAGTTTATCGTATGATTTATTTGCCATGCAAAGTCTATGCTTTGATGGGAAGCGCATCACAGAGCTAAGCTCCTTCCTCCATCCTTCCCACAAACAGTTGTCTCAGTAGTTATTCTAGAGTCCTAACAATTCATTTTTCTCCATGAACCATGCAATATTCCCTGTATTGCTTTCTCACGCCTCCAGATCAAGGCAAATACAAACACATGCACTATCTAGTCCTGATGCTTTTCTCCTTGTCTCAAATTTGCTTCTTTACCTACCATTCCAATCTAAGATCCCAATAATTTGATTCTTCCAATTTTTTAGGTCAGAAGTCTGAAAATTATTCGTATCTTCTAGTTTCCTAAGTTTTTTAATATTTATTTTTATTCTTAATTGTGTGTGGTCAAGTATACATATGTTAGTATGTCAGATATATCTAACCTGGAGTTACAGGTGGTTCTGAACCACCATGTAGGTGCTGGGAATTAAGTTCCAGTTCTCTGTAAGAGCAGTACATGCTCTTAATTGGTGAACAATCTCTCCAGCCCCTAACTTAAAACTCAATTATAAATTGACAAATTGTAGTTGTATATATATATGACTGAATAACATTATGAATAAGCAATACAATGTGAAGTAAACCTAATTAATTGAAATGTACAACACTTCAAATACTTATTTTTTCTAATGAGGACATTTTCTTTCTTCATAATTTTTGGAAAGTAAAACCTATTATTTACTCTATCCACCAAGTTGTACTATCCAATGTCTCAAAAGAAAAATTAATCCTGTCTCAGTGAGTTTTTTTAGCCCTTTGAATATCATTTAAAAGCAAATAGCCAATCAACAGACAGCTAAAGACTGGATAAAGAAACTATGGTATATATAAGAATATTCTCTATCCATAAAAAGATGAAATTCTGTCATCTGTGAAATCATGGATAGAACTGGAGATTTCAATTCTAAGTAAATTAAACAGATACATAAAGATAAATGCTGCGTGTTCATATATGGTGAAACCTAAATTCAATCTCACAGAAGCAAGAGACTGAGAGGAAGGAGGAAGGGTAAGGAACAAAAATGAGCAAAAGGACAAGGCTAGATTTCCATAGTAGGTTTTAGTGGCCTGTTGACTTTGAACTTTTTTACATTATACACAGCCAACAAGGGCAGTTTGTGTATAACAATTTTATCAGTGAGCGTCTCTCTATTATGAGATCCCTGGCACAAATAATCACACTGTCTTGCCTGTAATACCACAACCCCCTCCTATGCGTCTTCTGTTTCCATATAGTTTGTTCTTCAAGTAGCAGCAATAGATACATAACAGTAATAACCGTAGAAGAGGTCACAAGATTGAGAGGGATTTTGGACATGAGAGGATTCAGGAAGGAGAAAGTGTGGAATGGAAATGATGTAAATACAGTACTCACGTATAAAATTTTCAAAAAGTAAATATTAAAAAATGCCATTATATAAGTCTGCAGATAAACCTTTCAATAGCTTTCTATCTCCCCAATAATAAATGTCAAATCCTCAGGTTCTTAGGCATTATATTCTCTCATCCCCTTCAATCTGAACTCCTTCCACCTCACCCCATACATTATATCATTTCTACCACTCTAGCCTCTTTGATAGTTGTCTACTACGAGTTTCTTTGTCATAGTAGTTTCTTTGTCATCTCCTTTATGACTGAAACACACTTCCTGTGACTGATCATGTGACTGTTTCCCTCAATATTGTCAGCTCTGTGCTAAAATATCACAATTCCTGTGACCCCTTCCCTGACTTACATAAACATCTTAAGCTCTTCAACTTAGATTTGAAATTCTCCAGAATAGCCATGGATATAGTTACTATGCTTTTTCAAATATAACTGCTTGCCCTACACACTTAAAATTGAAACAGCTGAAGAAAATTCCAAGGTTCTAGCATTCTGGGCCTAAGCGATAGTGTTTTCTGGCATTGAATATCTCAACTCATACTTAGTACTAGATTTTCCTTTGCTTTTGTAGTGAACAACAATCTCCTCGAGGAGTTCTGTCTTTCTCCTTTTTCTACTCTCCTTCACTCAGTCAGCAAGATTTGGGTTCAGTGTACTTACTTGGTACATTTTACCTTGGTCAGAGCATCAAGCAGAGTGCCTTTATTTATTTTTTCTTGATTCCATATAAGAATGTGGTATCCAGTGAGCTTCTTGAAACATTTAGCTAGCTGTGGTAGCAATGGCAGTGATGGCAGCATGGGCAACTCATTAGATTCAGCAAACCCTCTCCCTCTGAAACTCTATTTTTCAGGTCCAGACTTCCCTTCCTTGAATGGAGCAGTCTATCTTTTGTTCACCACAAGCCAGTTTTGGGGGTAAAATAATCTGTGTCAGCTTGAAGTTGAGGCCAGTGCTGAGGGATGGAATAGGCTTAAAATAATTTCATGAGGCTATAAACTCTTAATGATCCAATCCTTCAGCAGCCTTGGGCTGCTGGAGTATATCCAGCTCAAAGCCCCTTCTCTCTGGTTGCCAACTCAATGGAGACAGTGGTCTCTTTGTTCTTCTTATCAGTCTGAATAATTATGGTACAGTAAGTGGGCTTTTCACCAGTTCTTTTCTTTAGAAGGCTCCTACAAGAACAAGTAGGCCAGAGTCTGCCTGCTCATTTCTATCTTAGAACTGGCCTTATCTTTGTACATGGCCTATTTCAAATACAGACTATATTCATAAGATGCCCCATGGGCACCGAGTCCCCTTGACTCTCTCAGAGGGTGTCTTAGATTTTTTCCTGGTTCTGTGATAAAATACCTTGAAAAAAGCAGCTTATGGGAGAAAGAGCTTATTCTCCCCAGCTCAATGGTCTAGTTCATCATAGTCAGGAAGTCACAACAGTAGAAGCATGAGGAAGCTTGTCACATTGCATCCACAATTTTGAAGCACAGAGTGCATGAATTTATGTTCTGCTCAGTTCCCTTTCTCCACCTGTACTGTCTAGGATCCCAGCCAGAGAATGATGCCATCCATAGTCTTTGGGTCTTCCTGTCTCAATTAGTGTAATTGAGATAGTCTCTCATAGACATGCCCAGAGGCCCATCACCTTGGTGTTTCTGGAGTCCATTAAACTAACAATTAACATTAACAGAGATCTTCTAATGACAAGCTCATCATCACCATTTGCTGGTGGAGACTGGTTAGGAAAACCTATTCATGTCTTAGAAACTTGGGGACTTGAAAGTATATCAAGATGACATTTTGGCCATTCTTCTGATTTCAGGTTAGAAAAAGTCTAGATGAGTAATATTTTCTGTTATTCAGCATTACTAAGAAGTATGGGCCTGGCATTGGTGGCGCACACCTTTAATCCCAGCACTCAGGAGGCAGAGGCAGATGTATCTCTGTGAGAGGCTAGCCTGTTCTACAGAGCGAGTTCCAGGACAGCCTCCAAAACAATACTGAGAAATCCTGTCTCAAAAAACCAAAAAATAAAATATAAAAAAGTATGATCAAAATATGTTATATAGATTTATAAAGGGTCATAACAAATCCATTTATTTATACAATTAACTATACACTAATAAAATGGCAACAAAATATTATGATAGTGATTGTATAACCTGTTCTAGGTCTGTTTTGAGAACAGAATTTTAAACCCATTAGAAATGTTTGAAGGTTCATTGCCCAAAGTCTATATAAGGTAAATCTAAGCACATGTACATTTCAACAAAATGCTTGAACAATGAACTCTACTGTGTAACAATCATTTTAATGAGTTAAAGAAAGAGCTACGGGTACTTCTTTATGTGTATTTCTACTTTGGTAGAGTTTTGCAGCATATTTTTCATGACAACATTTTCTTAGAATTTTTCACTCATAGCTTCAAATCAATGAATATTTACTGAACTCTGACTTCATGTCAGGAATTTTGCTAAGTACTAAGAATTCAGTGATGTATGTATACAAAAGACTCGATTCCTCATCTATGCTACTTGCTGAGGAATATAGATACTCTTCAATCATACTCAAATTATAAATTTACTATTGAAGGGTCTAGACCCTCAACTGGACCCCTGCTTTAGCAGCCATGGCAGGCTTCAGAAAAGACCCAGCAAGATATAGGCCGCTGACTCAGAGTCCCCCTGGCCCTGACCTTGCCCTTATTACTGGGAATAAACTGCCAGATATCCCATGTGGTAAGGAACAAATCAGAAGTTAGCTGGCAGGCTTTGGATGTACTTTACTGATAATAGTGGAATATAATAGGTAGCAATGGCCCTTGGATGGCTTCCAGGCATATCACCTTTCTGCAATTGCACTGACCAATCAACTCAGGACAGGTTCCCCCATCTTAGAGTTGCACCAATCCTGAGACTATGCAACTAGCAGATCCTCAGACATCGCTCTATCCCTAATATATGCCCTGCTCCACTGCTGCTTGGGGTCCCTCCCTCTCCACCCGTTGTGCTAGATGGACAGAAGACCTGAGTTAACTCATAAATTAAAAAGATTCTTTGCTTTTGTATGGGATGTGGTCTCTTGGTGGTTTGGGGGGTTCAGAGTCTGGGCACAACACTATAGTGATAAGTGAAAGACTGGTGGTGAGAATGTAATTCTTTAGGACAGACAGAGTCCACAGGCAGGGACCACTACAATGAACAAGTATGTGGTAGAGAGATGGGAGAAAAAGAGAAGTGCAGCAGTTTGTGTGCTATGAGGAGAGGTGGAGCTATAGATGTCATGATGTCGAGGAACAGCCTGA